GTGTGCGTCTTCCCCCACATCTTCAGGGGAGCCCTGGACTGCCGCGCGCGCTGCATCAACGAGGAGATGAAGCTGGCGGCCACGCACGCCATCGCCGCCATCGCGCGCAAACCCGCGGCCCTCAAGAAGCGCACGCCCTCCGTCGCTGACCTCGCGTCGCTGGTCGGCGCCGGCGGCGCGGCCGCGCTGGCCGAGAGCGCGCTCGCCGCGAGCGTCGACGACATCAGCGGAGGCAACGGCGGCGCGGCGGCGGCCGGCGGCGGCGCGAGCGAGGCGAGCAGCGGCAGCGTGACCGGCAGCGGCAGCGGCAGCGGGCGGCCGCCGGTGCCATGCGGCGCGGGCGGTGCGGGCAGCGACGTCAGCTGCAGCACGAGCGCTGCCGCGGCGCACGGCAACGGCGTGCGGCATCCGAGCCCCGCGCGGTCCCGCAGCCCCGGCTTTGGGCGCTCCGGCAGCCCCGCGCTGCCGCGGCCCCGTAAGTCCCTGCCGCCCCACCACCCCGACGACCCCGCCGCCGCCGCGCACACCGACCACGGCGCGCCGGCGGCGCCGGGAGAGCCGGCGTTTGGGCGCAGCTACATCATCCCCCGGCCGTTTGACGACCGGCTGGCTGTGGAGGTGGCGGCGGCGGTGGTGCAGGCGGCCGTGGACACGGGGGTGGCGCGCATCACCGACATCGACATGCAGGAGTACAGGCGGGGGCTGACGGACCTCACCCTGCGCATGAACCTGTGATCTAGCCGCGTTCTGGTTGCGATATGGCCTTAGCCGCCATGCCTCCGATTCCACGAGGTTGGGGCATCTGCCGTTTTGCGGGCGCCGGGGCCGGGTGGCTGGATGAGCCCCTGGGTGGCGCGCGAGCGCCTGTGCGCGCGCACGCGCGTGCGCCACCAGAGTGTTTTGAACGAGCGACAGGGGTGGTGGGCTGCTCGTGTTGAGGGGCCCACGAGGCGTCAGGGGCTGCGGCGAGGCGCGGCCCTCCTCATTTGCCATGTCCTCCATTGGGTGCCACCACCGCACGACAAACCCTGATCCCAGCAGGCGTCCCGCAGCTGAGCGGCCTCGACAATGCCAACTGCTTGTTTATTCAGCCCATGTGTGTGTGTGTGTGTGTGTGTGTGTGTGTGTCTCTGCTCCCTCGCATGGTGGTTTGTGGGGGGTGCAGCCAACAGTCCTGCGCCGGCCGCAGCGCTTGCGCCCCCAAAACGCACGGGCTGTTGTCTGGACCATGCGCGCAGTCAAAACCTTACAAATCAACACAAGGGGCCAGAGCCCGCTCCGCCTCAGCCGCCTGGGCGGCCGGCAGCGCAGCGCCCTCAAGCGCGCTCTGCGTGCTGCACGCGTTTGCCCGCTCCCTTCTGGGAAGCCCGCAGGCGTGAGTTTGACGCGCCCAGCTACCATAAAGATCTCCCGCCTGCCCCTGTGAACAGCGCCACTCAAACAGACACCCTTTGACAGGCTCACGCGGCCAGCTCTCAATATCTGTACGCACATAGGCACTGCCACACAGTTTTTGTTGTGTCGCCCTTTCATTTTTTTTTGGCGGCGGGTGTGACGCCGGTGCCAGCTGTGACGCCGCTTGTCAAAACACACCGCTGCATCATGGATCCGCACCAACCGGTTCACCGCACGCTTTTGCAAGCAACAACAAAGCAATTTGTTACTCGGCCAGGCTCGCAGAACGAACTAGCAGGAGGGGCAGCCGCGACCGCCGCCGCCGCGGGCCCAGGGCGCGCGCCGCAGCAGCACTCACGCGCAGCGGCGCTGACGCCGCTGCACCTGGGGCCCGGTCGACTTCCAGGGGTGCTGAGGTATTGGTTTCTGGTGCCGGCGCTGCGCGAGGGGTTGGGGCGCTGCCGCCCGACTGGGGTCGTAAGGATGTAATGCACACTGGCCTGCGCGCATGCAGCCGTCGCCCCTCGCCCTGCACATGCAGCGGTGGCGGGTCAGCAGCAGCACGCACGCGGCGGCCGGGCGCGCTATGCAGTGCGGCGCTATGCTGGTATGCTTGTGCAGCAAGGGATACGCGCAAAAGCGGACGGCGGCGTCGACAGAGACAGTTGAACAGAGACAAAAAGATAAATAAAGAGAAGCACGTGGGGGCCAAGCCAGGCAGGGGGCTTGAGGGGCGGGTTGGCCCATGGGGAAGTGTTAAGCCCCTTCCCGCGCGTCACCGCCTGACCCCCCTCGCCCGCAGCCAAGGACGCCCATGCCAAAGCCGGTGTGCGCGCCCACCCTGCCCCCTGCGCGCAGCAGCCGCTCAGGCGGGCGTGCCCACGGGGTAGCGCTTGCCGCCCCCGGTGATGCCCTCCCCGCGGCGCATGTCCACCACCGAGATGGCGAGGCTGGGGATCCAGAGCAGCCAGCTCATCCAGGCGAACGCCTGGCTGGCCAGGATGGCGTTGCAGTAGGCAAACGGCTCCAACACGTCGATCTGAGAGGGCTTGCACTTCTCAAATGCCGCGTAGGCGCCCGCGGCCGACATCCAGAATATCACCCACAGCACATTAACTGCCACCTCCACGACACCCCTGCAAGAGAGAGAGGTGCGGGGCACGCAGCGGCTGGTGAGGGGACAGAGGCGGCGTCCACAGCCACGGGCCGCGCGTCCGCTGACCCCCTGCGCCACGGCCCCTGCCGGCCGCGTGACCGCCTGCCAGCTGCCATCCACCCGCACACCCGGTACGCCTGCCGCCCGGCCACAAAGCCGGCACAGCCGCAGCCCCGCTCCTGGCTCCTCCTCTGCACCGCCCCAGCCACGCTGGCCCTCTCAGCCCAGCGGCCCCCACTCCCCCGCGCCTCCCACCAGAAGGTGCGCTGCAGCCCCTCGGAGCAGCTGACGACGGCGTAGAACATGGCCAGCAGCCAGGCCGTCACGCCGGTGAATACCATAAAGTTGATGCGCGGCTCGACATGGCCCTTGCTCTGGATGTAGGCCGACGCCGCAAACGCCACCAGGGCAAACACCGCCTGAGGGGGTGAGGGGGGTGAGACATGCGGGCGGCGTTGCGGGAGGGGATCAGGCCAGCAGGGGCGGACAACGTCACAGGCGTGGGCGTCAGGACCAGGCAAAGCGCTGCGGCCGCCTTGGAGAGCATGGGGCGGACGGGTGTTGTCATGCTGGCGTGCGTCCCCAGGGTTGCAAGTGGTGGCCGAGGTGGGTCAGCACTGCGGAGGTGGCAGGGGGCGGGCCGTTGCGCGGTAGGGACCCCTCGGGGAAGCCAACCCCCCCTGCTGACCTGGACAATGCGCAGGATGATCTTGGAGGCGTAAAAACTGCGGCGCGGAGGTGGCACAGCGCACGCGTCCGTGACGGCGCAGCATGAGTGTGCGTGTGCGTGCATGCGTGTATGCTATGCACGCCCGGCCTGTCCGGGTGGCTTGCTGCTGCGTGAAATCACAGGTGTGGCACCAAGGGAAATGCTGGCCATTCTGTCTGTTGTTCGGTTGGGCCACTGACTGCCAGATGGTGCCGCATGCCGTGCGTGCTGCCGCCGTTGCAGCAGTCAGGCTGCGGCTCAGAGCCTTTCTGAGCCGCCGAACATCCAAGGCTCAGGGCCAAAGCGCACTCCAACCACCCAGCTGCGCCGCTGCGCCCGCTGCGCGTGCGCAAAGGCACGGCTTAGCGCATCCTGCTGCCCAGCCTACACGCGGCTCGAAAGAAACTTTGGATTGATTCTCCGTGACAATCGACACGGGCTTTGCTGATTCAAGGCGCCCAGAGCCGTCGGTCGGCGAGTCAGGACATCTGGGGCATCGGGACCCCGACGGCGGATCACGCAAGCTAAAGGATACAAGCTGCTCACCAGGAAGCCATTTTATCCGCTGCCGTCGACGATGAGGTCCGGCGCCAGGGGCTTCAATAGATCACTGACTTGCAGCGTCAAACTCGGGCTCCCTCGGTGCGTTTGCAACACAAAACTGATGCTGTGATCGGTCCAGCTCGGTTGTTCAAATGTTATTGCACAACAACGCCCTGTGGTCTGCTCCCAGTGGAGGCAGCTGCTGTGCCCCTTTCCCGTTCAGCACACCAACAACATCCCAACAGCATGCCCGGCTTGCTTCTGACGCCGTGCTGTACACGGCCACAAACCCAATCTTTCAATCCTGAATGCCTCTAATAAAGTTGCAGTGTTGCAGGTACATTACAGGCTCGCTCCATCTTCCCAGGCAAGGCAAGCTGGGGCCAATGAGCCGAAGGGCGACGCCCCTTTGCCACCATGCCGCCTGCGGTGCAGGTCAGCGTGACAGCAGAAGTGCGCATGCGCTACACTGGCACCACGCTGGCCCCACAGAGCGCAGCACGCATAGTCAAGCATGCCAACGGGTTGCACGACACAAGAAAAAAGTGTGTAGGGTGTGGTGGTACACGGAAAAGGTGTGGACAAGTCGGATACAACACAACTGTTGGAAGTACATCATGGACTGTGACCCGAGCGCGCTGCATGGCATGCATGCGCATGCCATGCGCGCTCGAAGGCAGTAAGCTCCAGGGAGGCGGCCCAGGCACGCAGGGCACACATGGTTGCGTGCGCCGTGCCGCTCTCGATTTGCGCCGCTTTCACTCTCATAGAACCGCATCAAATGTGCGCGTGTACACGCCCAAACACATCAATAGGGAAACGACAGCAATGACACGCTTGGCCGACGGGTCGGGGGAGCTGCATTGCCGTCGCCGTCACGCGGCACCGCGTGCTGCCCCCATTCTCGCCGCTCGCGAGGCCCCAGATTGACCTCCAGGCCCGTCGTCCCGCCTGCTTAGGCTGACGGACGGTGACGTCAGCACGTGCCGTCTGCCATCATCATCTCCCCCAGATATGTCAGGTGGTCGGCGATGCTGGTGCACAGCCCCAGGTGGCACACGCTCGCGTGGCAGGTAGGGTCCTCCCCGCTCTCATCGCAGATGACAAGCTGCTCCTGCGGCGCGCCGCCGCCGCCGCCGCCGCGCGCGGGGTCCAGCGCCACGACCCACACCTCCCGCGACACGTGGCGGAACCCCATGATTGTGGGCGGCAGGCTGGGCACGATGTCCCGGCCGTGCGTGAACCGCCAGCTCTCCGCGACGTGCTGCTCGAAAAAGTCGGCAAACACGGAGTTGCCAACGCGCGGTGACCCAAACGTCAGCACCCGCAGGTCCGGGGGGTCGTGCCGCGCGCGTATGTCGAGCGCGCAGAGGTGCGCCAGCGCGCCGCCCATGGAGTGGCCCAGCACGTACGTCGCGGCGCGCGGGTGCGCCGCGTGCAGGCGGCCGTACGCGCCCAGGAACGTGGTCGCCATGCTGCTGCTGTTCCAGAGCACATCGAAGCCGCTGTGGATGCGCAGGCCCTTGGGGGCGCCGGACACGGGGTAGGTCGCGTCCGTGCGCCACGCGCGCATGTTCTCCGCCCAGTTGTACCTGGGGACCGCAGGCGGGGCCGGGACGGAGGCGCGCAGACGCAAGCGCTCATCGCTTCTTACAGTGGGCTGCGTTGCGAGGCGCCGCTGATCGAGCCTGCTGTCGGCAACACCTCTTTGCGTGGGCAGCGGCATCCGAGCGTTGTGTTGTCTAATGCGACACCACGCCCCAGCCCCCCTCACCGCACTGCACAAAGCCCCTGCACCATCAGCTGCCTCACTCCCGAAGCCATGCCCCCACGCACTGCCCTCGTC